GGACGGTCAGTCTTTCCCTAGATCTAGTGTTCCTGTTGCTTTCACATTAATATAACATCCCACCAGTTCCTTGTCCCTTAAGTCTAATTGGACACCAAATACAGCTCAGTGGTTTATAACACAGACAAGCGTCTTACTTTACACAACTGTATTAAATGTATCTGTTTAGTATTGACATGGCCTGTGCATTAACAAGATTGGCCAGTGGTGGACTGAGAGTGTTATTTAATTTCACGTCGACAACCCTTCAAATCGGGCCACAACCGAGTTTTTGAATATTATTGAGTCCTACAGTTTTGCCCAACATGTGCATGGTCCAAACCACAACTGTGGGCACACACTATACCTAGTTTGTACACTTGGTTTAAATTTAGTTAGCCTCTTCATTAGAGATCTTGCTGTGTCTGACCATATTTGTACCCTGCTTAATACAGTTTTCCAAGTGACCACAAAACCAATAAACCAAAAGATCCAGTTCCGTGGACTTGGTAAACACACAGCTCAGCCTCTCTGCACTTTGTAAAGCTGCATGTGACAACTTGCCTTTTCTTTCAGATACAAATGACCAGTTACTAGCATTCAATCAATTATGCTCATCCACCTCGGACATTGTTGCTTGAAAAGTGATCTGTATTATTATTATTATTGTTATTATTGTTATTGTTGTTGTTGTTGTTTTATTATTATTATTATTATTATTATTATTATTACTATAAAGGGCTGTGCTGTGCTGTTTTCAGAGCCGCAGCACCATGGGGGATTATGGGTGTTCAGTTGCCACCAGAGGGCTCCTTCACTCCAACTCTCAGCAGGTTTCTGTCGGCTTCAGACCTCTGCACAAACCCAGCTGGCTGCTGATCAGTAAGAAGGTGAGGCTGTTGCTCTGTGGTTAGCCGACCAGTGGCTGTGGTTTATGGTTTAATTCTGGTTTAAGACTTTTTCAAAGCTCGTTTAAGACTGGCTTAAAGCTGGTATATTCTGGTTTAAGACTGGTTTAAAGGTGGTGATAGTTAGTCAGATTGAGAGCCAGATACAAGATACAGAGTCACGTCTTTAACATTTCTCTACTGTTACTGATCAGCCAATGAACTGCACATACTGATCAATTTTCTCTATAATAACGAATGGTTATATCCAGTTAAAGACCTTTTGAAAGGTCTTTGATTGGTTGTAATGTTATTATAACTTCCCCAAACACCGTAAACAAATAGCAGTTACACAAGGCTGTACTCGTCCAGAGTTATCAGGGACGTGCTGGTGTTATCCAGGGAACAAGTGTGCGCACTGTTCACATTGGTTTGGAGCAGCAGCAAAAAGATGAAGGAGAGAGGAGGAGCAGAGAAGGTGAGAAGTAAAAAGAAAAAAGCAGCGAAATGTTCCAGAGTAACAGATATATTCAGAACATCCAGTAAAGACCAGGTAGGTGAGATGCTAAGCAGGGGCGTTGTAGCTAGGTGCTAGCTCAGGTGATACTAAATTACTAGAGAAAAGCACTACAATTCAACTCCTTGCCAGAATAAACAATTCTGTGGTGAACAGAGCCCTCTGGTGGCGAAACAGCGGAAATACAGTATCAAACACGGCCGCATGGCGAAACACGGTAATCATATGAATATGTGGTCTGACATAATTATCAAAGGATCATCATGTTACACACAATATTATAGGCAAGATATAACACTCATAACAAACAAGGGAAGTAAGCTACATTAGCAAAGAATATCACATTATGTTGCCAGGTTATGAACTATATGCTAGGAATATTATGCATTAATACAGAACACTCAAGGCAATGTCGGAAATAATAATAAAGCAGGTGATAAATATGCTGACAATATTCTGCCGTCCAACATTAGCCATAAAGAGATGTATATAGATGTATATATGATGCAGTATCAGACTACAACTGTTTGACTTCAGGACCAAATAAATTTTGTAAAAGCAGGTGGATCAATCATAAACAGCAAAGTCATCAGTCATGATATGATGATAAAACCACTGTAACAGGTCTCAGATCAGACTGTCTGGACTGTTGTTGTTTAGCTGCTCTTCATGTGTGTCGTGTGCGGTCAGAAGAAACAGACTGTAATGAGACTGATGTTCCTTCAGCACCGGGAGAACTGCCTGGCGGCCCAGTCTCTGTTCAGGAGCTTCTGTCTGGCTCCAGTCAGCCTGCAGACTGAGCTGCTGCCATACCTGGCCAAGCTCACCAACCCCATGAGGAACCAAGGTAACGCACACCTGCTGGTCTTAGTACAGCTGTGAGGTCACTTGTGACATGACGCACTCCCTAGCCCCTTACCCTCACCTTGGCCAACCTAAACTAACCTAAACCTGATTCTAACCTTAAGACTAGAAGCACGAGGATGTCATTTTAACTGAACAAAGTTAATTAATCTGTTTCAATTATTATTAAACCCTTTTGCTGTGATAATCTGACATCTCACGATAATCAGCTGAGCTCTGTGAACTCATGTTACTTCACTGTGATTCACTGTGTCTCGCAGCTCAGATAGCTTTCATCCAGGACGTGGGTCAGATGCCACTGAGGAGGTTCTCCAGCAGGTACAGCGCTCATTTTATCTACCAACAATGCAGTTAGGTCAAAGAATGTATGTGGCTGTGTCCGAAATCACTCCCAAGCTGCAAGTAGCACAGATGACAACAGAAGTCTTTCATGCGGATACTAATCAGTGATGAACCCGGCTGGGATGTACTTGTTGTTCAATACTTTTAAAGGTAAAAGCGTTGAACAACAAGTGCGTCCCAGCCGGGTTCATCACTTTTTTCTGTCCCCTGGAAACACTTCCGTTGTGATGTGAGTTGCAGCACGTGTGTCAAATCCATGAAGTTGTTTTCTGAAGTTGTTTGTGTTTTTGCCTGTTTGCATGTGTTTTCTTAAGCTGCAGTGTGTTGAGCTCTCAGGGCATCCGCAGTGGTGTCAGTAGACGGCAATACATTTTCACAAACATGGCACCAATAACCAGCACCGATCAGCCTAATAGATATCAATGTACACCACAAATGGCTGCCACAGTGTGACATGTCTGCTGGTTACAAACTGTGTGTGAAAGTTCACGTTTGTCACAGTGATTGATGATCGATCAGACTCGTCTAATGAGAGGACTTGATTGATTGATCCGGGGCAGGGCAGTATCACCTGAAGACAGAATCACAATTCATTTCCATATTTACCTCTTGAACCAATTAGTAAACAATATCTTATTAAATACATTTTTGCAAGAGCTTGTTCACATAGTGAAGCTGTTATCAATTCTTTGTGCTGAAATAAACAGAAAGTACGACAAAGTATTGAGGGGAAAAAAAAGAAATCTGAAATTCCGAGAATAAAGCCATAATATCACAAGAATTAAGTTGTAATTTTGAGAATAAAATCATAATATTTCAAGAGAAAAAGTTATAGTATTGTGAGATAAAGTTGTAATATTACTTTTTACAATTTTTTCTTCTAATATTATGACTTTATTCTCAAAATTTCAGATTTTGTTTTTCCTCAATACTCCGTCATAAGAAAGCCCTGTATTATGACTGTAATATTTTTGTAACTTCTGTCATCTGTCTTTATTTCTCTCTCTCTTGTGTGTGTGTGTGTGTGTGTGTGTGTGTGTGTGTGTGTGTGTGTGTGTGTGTGTGTGTGTATTTATTTGTGTGTGTCCATCTGTCTGTGTGTGTGTGTATAGATTAAAACTGGAGGCTCTGACAGACAAAGAGCCGGGCCAGCTGGACACAGACAATGAGGAAGAGGAGAAAGAGGAAGGTCAGGGTGGAGTTGAGGAAGGTCTGCCAGCCAGTCAGCCTCCACCTACTACACACCAAGTCCTGTTGGAGGAGGAGGACCTGACCATAGAGGAGTATACCAGTGACTAACACACAGCTTTACATCCACTGTCATACTGTGACTCACTTTCACTTTTTCACTGTCCTGTTTGTGTATGATTTTCTCAACTGAGTTGTGGTTTACTTTGGAGGAAGATGAGCACAATGTGAAGAGATAAAGAGTTCTGATTCGAGGAGAAACATGTTGCTGTTCAGAAGTTCACCTTCACTTTAATTTTAATTACAGTTATAACTAAGCGGATTCTCCTCTTGGTCAAGCCTGAACTGAATGTGATTATGTGCCTGTAACAATGAAAGCACAGGGATATCATTATAATAACCTCCCAAAGTGACCTTTAACAATTCAGTTTTACCAGTTGTCAGTATTTATTAGTCTTTATGTGCAGGTTTTTGTTTTGTTAATGGAGAGCTGTCCTGTAAACCAGCCTGTAGCTGATGTCTGTTTTCACTCTGTCTCATGGGTGGAGAATAAGAAACATTTTGTTAATGCTTATTAAGGGATAAAATGTTTAAATCTAAATAAGCATGTGAATAAAATACTGTGTGAAAAGCTGAACATGTGGCTCTTTACCTGAACATTATCTCTCCCCTCACACACCCTCACATCCAATATTTACTCAACTGTTTCACACTAAGCTACTTTCCCTGTAGTGATGGTGACTCACTGACTGACAGCAGCTGGAGCTTCCTTAATACACTTTCAGCTTAAATTCGACAACACTCACTTCTTCCTCAAACACCAAATTAAATGTCTAAAGTTCCAATAACACAAATCACATTCACTTAATGAATAAACATTTTGAAAATTGTGAAAAGTTTGAATAACAACGCAGAAGAGCTTTCTCTCCTCTGTCTAGGTTAAATGTGGTGTTTTAGAAGTTCTTGTAGTTTTATAAAAAAAAACAAAACAGTTTATATTATTTTTGTGACACGTTATTAAGACGACGTTCCAGCGCCGCGCTTTGGTTTATATTAGAAATGTAGGTTTATTTTGAAGGTAATGAGCGGAAGTACTGACTGGTGCTGGTTTAGCTTGACAGCAGGGATTCAGGATGTACGCGGCTGGAACAGTGGAGTGGAGTGTGTAACGCGGCTCTGAGCGGATTAATATGAAACATTCATATGAAATATAACTCGTTTAATCTCTCACATCGTGGTTAAAGGTAGTTGATTAACTTTGTTGTCGTCGGTGTCAGTGGAAACCGGAAAGAACCGAGGAACAAGTTTATTGGTTGAGAGCTACAGGTAAGAGGAAGTGAAAACAGCCAGGACTTAGGAACGTTAAAGGGTAATTTCACACTAATATATATATATATATATATATATATATTATATTATATATATATATATATATATGAGAGAGAGAGAGAATCTACAGGTTATTTCTGTTCAAATAGTGTTTGTGTTTCATCAAGTCTTAACATAAATGTTTTATTTTTTTGTTAATTTAGTCTATCCACAAATGAATCAGCTCCACACTATAGTGATCACTAATCAATACTTAGACACAGCTAGATGATACAACTGAACTCAAAATCAATGGATGATTTTTTCGATAATACTGGCCAGTTTGAATGATCAGTTTGATGTTCAGTGAAATGAATGTTTCAAATCTGCTCTTCACAGACTGAAAAAACCCTCTAAATCATGTAGTTTGTTTTTAGTTAGTTTGGAATCATCTGCTAAACAAATTAAATTGATTGATGAATTGAATCAATCTGAGAAACATCATAATGTTCTGTCACACATCTGTCCTGTCATGAAAAGTCGACTTAAGTTTAAAGGAGCACGAGTTTCAGTGTAAAAGCATGAGGTTTGTCTCTGTGAGAATAGAAACAAATAGAAACACAGTGAAAACAATATCATCTCATCTAATATATGAACATTATCAGTGTTTTGTATATTCGCTGAGCTATTTTAACACGTTTTGCCTCCTATTAATAAACAACCTGCAGCTCTGGTTAACAGACTAACCCCAACCACACAGATCCAGTGAGGCATAAGTTCACAGCAGGAACCTGGACCACAGCAAAAGGCTGCAGTTCTTGTAGGTACTGAGTAGTGGACTTATCCTGCAGAGTCCCAGACCACCAAGAAACTGTTTACTGATAAAAACCACCAGACAGGACTCTGTGTTTTCAGTAAATGTTACATTCAAAACTAGGTTTGTGAATTTTTGAGCGGAATATTTTCAGTCATGACGGACTGATTGAGATTTGTCCAGATGATCCTGAACTCTGTGAATGGAGGTTTGATCTGTGTATAGCTGCAAATCAAGCACTTTCATCACACAAAACTTATAAAAATCTAATATGATAATAAAGCAGTCCTGTCCACACTGGTCGCATATGAGAGACTTTAATGTTTAAAGTCTCTCATGGGTGGTGATTTGTATCATCTCATGCAGTAGTTCCAGGGGTAAGCGTGAAAATATATTTTAAATGTATCATTTAAATTTGAGCAAATCAATATGTTGTTTGGTTTTTCAGGCTTAACAAATCCAGGTGATGTCTGACCTGGATCAGATGCAGGAGGTCAGTGAGGCCTGCAGCCTGGATGATGACATGTTGGACGGAGACCTGGGTGATGGGGTGGGAGTCAGGTCAGCGCCCAGTTCCACTGGTAAGAGGAGCCAAAGCTTCACTGGTCTCTCAGAGACCCTGTACAGGCACAGCAGCCAGGCAGGAGAGCCAGTCCGGATCCCTGGACTGAAGACTACAGAGACCCAGCAGAGAGTGCGCTGGACGCTGCCACGCTGTGGTAAGAGTCACACCATAAAGGCTTATTTTATCTTTAACATCACGTCATGATGTTGATATATAATAAATACACAATACTCTGAAGTTTTAGATTAAAAAATAAATGTAGTTAGGAAATAATTTTTATTTATTGTTCCATTATTAAAAAAGAGTCTAATTTGGTAAATATTAGTGAACATCTTTCTATAATGTTGTTGCTCAAGGTTAGAACCTTTTAATTAACATATGTAATTCCAAATACTTACAGATGGTTTTCATATATGGAGATTTTTATGATAAGATGATTTCCCACCTGTGCTATGCAGCCAGTCCTCGTGCTGCATGTTGGGTGACTGACTGCGTGTAATGCAGAAATCACAGAGAAGTGTCATCAACTCACTGAGCTTTTTTAGCCACTTTAGCTCATAGCTTTGGTTTTTCATCACATGTAATGTTTGGGTTCAGTCTCATCATTTCCAGCTGCAGCAGCATCAGCAGCTGATTACAGAGGCAAAGGGCTCCAGCAGACCTGCAGCAGACAGTCAGTCAGAGAGCATCTGGTGAACATAGAGGAGCATTTAGCAGCTAGAGAGCCAGAGATTTCCCCCAGGAGCTTGTGGAAACCAAACACAGAGCTAACAGAGAGGGAGCGCTGGACATACACTGCATTCAGAAAGTCTTCAGACCCCTTCACTTTTATTCCATGTTGTTATGTTGCAGCTTAATGCTAAAAAAAATAAAAAGACAAAACAGAATTATAGGTTCCTCCGTTTCTCTGGATCATCTCTGAGATGTTTCTACACCTTGATTGGAGTCCAGCTGTGGTAAACTCAGCTGATTGGACATGATAAAGACACACCTGTCTATATAAGATCTCACAGCTGACAATGCAGATCAGAGCAGAAACCATGAGGAGGAAGGAACTGCTGCTGCATCATTCTGACATGAAGAAGTCTGGAACAACCAGGACTCTTCTAGAGCTGGACCCAGACTAACTGAGACATCAGGGGAGAAGAGAGGAGACCAAGAACCTGATGGTCACTCTGAGCTCCAGAGATCCTGTGTGGAGATGGAGAAACTTCCAGAAGAACAACCGTCACTGCAGCTCTCCAATGATCTGGGTTTTATGGCAGAATGTCCAGATGAAGCTTCTCCTCAGTGACAGTTTGTAAAAAAGCAGTTAAAGGATTCTGAGACTGAGAGAAACCAGATTCTCTGGTCTGATGAGACCAGGACTGAACGGTTTGGCCTCAGTTGTAATGCAGTCATGTCTGGAGGAAACCAGGCTCCACTCATCACCTGAACAACACCATCCCAACAGTGAAGCATGGTGGAGGCAGCATCCGGCTGTGGAGGGGACAGGGAGCCTGACTGACGGGAAGCTGAACAGAGCAAAGTACAGAGAGATCTTTATTGAAAACCTGGTCCAGAGCTCAAGACCTCAGACTGGGCTGAAGGTTCACCTTCCAACAGGACAGTGACCCTCAGCTCGCAACCAAGGCAACACAGGAGGTGCTCAGGCACAACTCTTTGACTGAGCCCTGACCCGAGCCCAGTCCACCATCTAGAGAGAGCTGAAAATGTCTGCCCCGCTGACGTCCCCATCAACCTGTCAGAGTCTGAGAGGCTCTGCGGAGAAGAACGACAGAAAATCCGCAAATCTGGGTGTGGAAAGAGAGTCAGACCCACGAAGACTGGAGGCTGTAATCACTGCTAATGGTGATTCTAATAGTCCTGAGGAGTGTCAGAATACACTCTTCTCTTTCCTTTTTCATAAATTTGCAAACATTTTTAAAACTCTGTTTCCTCTTCGAGATTATGGGATATTGAGTGTAGATTTAAAACATGGATTTAAATTATTTTAGCATAAAGCTGCAACATAACAACGTGTGGAAAGTGAAGGGGTCTGGAGACTTTCTCAACACCCTGTAGATCAGTGTAGAGACTCAAATAGTAACAGACGTACTGACTGAATCTGTTCACATATTTCACTCAGCAGATGTTTTCAGTTTGATCTCATCATGATTGTCATTGTGTCGTTATAGAAACACCCAGAAACAACTCTTAATTTGTCCTCCGTCTTTAATCACAGGGCAAGTGATAACATTCAGTCATTGTTTACAATCTGCATTTAACAGTGCAGGACAATTACAACACACCATGTACGAAATAAAGGAGGTGGCTCATGCAAAAGTTGTTTTTCCACAATGATGTGAAGAACTTGAACCACAAAGAGTGCTGACCCCAGAACAGTCTTTAAAGAGTCCCTCTATAAAGATGTCCCTGCTGTGACTGTATAAAGCTCCAGCTGCGTCTTACAAACACAAAGCTACACATCTTGTCTCTGCCTTCTGATGCATGAGTGACTCTGTGTGAAACAGGAGGCTCCCTGGTCGACCTGTCCAAAGACGAGCTCAGAGACAGACTGCAGGAAGCAAGTGAGGTAGGACGAATCAAACAGAACAACTGTCACTGATGTTTGTCCGCTGGACTCCTGACAAACTGACTGATGCCTCTGCTGTGTTGACAGGTGATAGACGTGTTATGCTGCGAGCTGGAGGTGGCACATCGTTACTTTGAAGGCAAATATGAAGCTCTGAAGATCCTGCAGGGAAAGGTAGAGCAACACGTGCTGAAGTACTGTGTCTTACAACAGGAATCAAGAGTGTCCAGAACCTTCTTTTTACCCAGATGGTCATAACAGCTCTTGTGACCACTTACAGTGAAGCCGTGTCCACTGGCAGACCTCCAGGTTCTTCATTTTCCAGGTGTTGCTGGAGTTTTGAGCAGCCACATCTCTGTCAGTCTCGGCCTGTGCCTAGTGCAGAAGGCCGCTGATATTTAAAATTTTTAAAAAGACCAAAACCAGCAGTGAATCTGACTTCCCTCCTCTGTCTGTAGCTCTCAGCTCCGAACCTGAAGATGATGGTCTTTCAAAAAAAATTATACAGTATATAGCTTTATTTAAAAAAAAAGACTCAGCCAAATTGAATTTAACTAGTGTGTGTGTTCATGGTGATGAAGGAACATGTCACCCAGTGTAACAGTGAGACTCACTGACGTGTTTTGAATCAGACGTATCGGTTACCCTTTGATCATATCACATCATCGTCGTCGTCTGGCTGTCATGGCAATGTAGATTTTCACATTTATGAGCACTTTAATAACCTCATATCCATGTTGACTCAGAAGTTAGCTAATGATGTCAATATCATATCCTGACTATTTGCTTTACTGTACATGAATTTCTTATAGAGTGTAAAGACTTAATGGGAGATGAGAACAATTTAGGTTTATCAGCATGAAGCTGCTGCAGATTATTTGCCCTCTAATCCTCAATGGATTTTAGTCTTGGACAGTAGTACACAGCTGCTGTTCTGCCGTCACAAAGCAAAGACTTCCTGTGAAGACCAGTCCTTCTGTCTGAAGTGTCTTTGTCTCTGAAGTGTCAGAGCAGTGGCCTTCAGTGAGAGAGAAGGAACTTACCAGTCTGAGTCTTTGCTTTGTTCGGCCACTGAACAACTGAACATGCCTCTTTCTCACACAGGCCATCCTCGACAAAGCCACGATTCACACTAAAAGTCTGCTGCAGAAGAGTGAAGAGAAGGCCAAAGCTCTGGAGAAGGTAACTGCTTCTGTCTGGTCTGTTGCTCCAGTCAGTGCAGGCTGCTCAAATAAGGGCTTGGTCTGTTTGCTTTAACATGCTTCAGCAGGTTTCTGCTCAACAGGCAGGAACTAACTGCTCTTTACCTGTTTATCAAAGACAAACGATACACCACAAGAAGTGGTGGTAAAGAGACATTTCTCTGTTTACAGTCACATCCCGACTGATTCCAGTGAATTATACAATGACAATCGGGGGTCAACTTTTTCTCCAGGGCGAAAGGGAGTCCAGTACAGCACAGGCAGAGCTTCAGTGAACTGCAGTGTTACAGTCCTTACAATGTCTTACTTGTTCAATTAAGGCTGCCAAATAAATGTGGTGGAGTAGAAGTATAAAGCACCATAAAATAGAAAATACTCAACTGATATACAAGTACCTAAAATTGTACATAAGTACAGTACTTAGAGTAATTGTACTTAATTACTTTCCACCACTGCTAATACAATTACTGAGCCTTCAGCACACACGGATTTTAATATTGTTCAATGACCCAACAGGTAAAACCCCTGAATTCCTGAGTGAAAACAAAGGGGGTGTCTGTTATAGAAGCTAATATCAAAAAGGTAAAAGACTAGCTAAACCACACAGACACACAAAGACTGTTAACATGAAATAGTGAACAAGATGAACGTATCTCTACAACTACTAATCCTCCATTGTATTCACTGTTCATGCCTGAGCACCAGTGTTTGCTAACATTAGATCATATATGGCATTTTATATTGGTGATGAAATGACAAGCTAACATTGGACATTAAAGGGCTATCAGCTAGCTAACATTATTTAGCTAAACTGTAACTTAAGACTACAGTTGGACACTAGCTAACATGAGTGTTCATCCGTAGATACTTGACACTTCAGAAACTCTGAAGGTAAGGAAGCAAAGTGTATTAAAAAAGCTAGATAGTTATCTACTGCTACTTACATTTCCCACAGTGTCTACATGACACATGGGAGCAGAGACCCTGTGGATTTATGTATGGCTACAAGTCTTTATATGTCTATCAGTAACTGAATAAATGAGGCATTAATAATAAACAGATAACAAAGAGCTCAGAAACAAACAGATGGATGAAGATGATCTTTGACTGATAAAATGAACTGATCACTTGTTTGATAATGTAGAAATATAGTATGTGTTTCAGACTTACTATCCAACATCCGAAGGAGTGAAATTTGGCCTCCTGCAAAGCTTTATCTCAGAGCTGAACCCCTTTCAGTCAGACCCAAAGTGGTTGTTTCAGTGCTGGCTTCACACATGGCTCTCCCTCACCTGATGCTGTGTGTGCTAGCTCGTATCTAAACAAATGGACATGAATCCATGGAGCCAACCTGCCTTGTGTCAACAGTCCAGACTGGTGGTGGTGGTGTGATGGTGTGGGGAATGTTTTCTTCTTAATACCAGTCAGTCATGGTCTGAATGTCTCAGTCTGAGTATTGTTACTGACCATGTTCATCATCTTCTAATGGCTTCTAGCAGGATAATGCTCCATGTCACAAAGCTAAAGTGGTCACAAACTGGTTTCACCAACATGACAGTGAGTTCAGTGAACCTCATTGAGTGTAAATACTAGATAAAATGTGATCATGATCTGCTGCCTCCGTCTCCTGCAGGAGGTGAACAGTTTGCAGTGGGAGCTCAGCTTCAACCAGGTCCAGATGAAGAAGTCTGACCAGTCCTGGGAGCAGAAACACAACAGGTCAGATTTACTCCACTTTCACTCAATGTCTGTGGGATTCTTCCTGGGTTATATTGTAACCTTATTGTTGTTTTTCAGGATTGTGAGTGAGAACAAGACTCTGACTGACAACCTGCAGGACAGAGAGAGTGAGATCCAGCAGCTCCGAGCAGAGAATTATGGTAAATTCTGAATAATGTAGATGAATGAGAAGTGACCTAAACATGTCCACACATATTATCTCCACATGTGAAGTCACTGGAGCAGAGTTAATGAACCTCACACAGCTCCTAGCTCCAAGAGATTGACACAGTCTTTTTCCAGCATTTTTAAATGCATCTTGTGGTCTCAGTCATCATAATGTGTGTGTGAATGTGTGTGTGTGTGTGTGTGCGTGTGTGCGTGCAGCTCTGAGTCGGCAGTGTGTGGAGCTTCTCTCCATGTTGAATGTGAAGGAGCAGAGAACTTACCAAGGAACCAAACCTCAGTACAGCCCAGAGAGAGACGCAAGTGTCCTGGAGGTGAGAGAGCATCAGTCAATATTATAAAGAGAGAGAGAGAGAGAGAGAGAGAATATTTGTAGTCAGGTCATGTATTAGGACCAAGACTTTACCTTCAGATCAGTGACCTCACACACTGAGCACATTCTCCTGGTCATGTTTTTAGTGTGTTTGTTTGGGGAAGTTATGCTGACCTCATATCCAGGTCTTTAACTGGATAAATGATATACTATGTGTAAAGCACAGCAGGCTTTTAGCACAGCTGTTACCAACATGTGGCCATTTACTGCATAAAGCAGCTACATTGATAATAATTCCTCCACTGTGAGAAGCTTCTTTTTCTCACCTGCCTTCATTCAAGAACAGTTATGGACATTATTATATTTTTTACCTGAAATATAATGTTAATAAGACTTTATTTTTATAGCACTTTTCAATACAAGTAACAAAGGGCATCACGAGTCAAACAGAAAACATCCCAACAAATCAAAATAAAATGTAAATGAAATTAAAAAGATATCATATGATAAAAGATTTTTTTATATATATAAAAAAATAGTTAATATTTCCTTATAAACTGTTTTGCTGTGGCCCCCTGGTGGGCTGCAAAGATATTGGAAGGAGTTTAAAAACTCCTTCCATTGTTTTTTTTTATCACTGTGATGAGCCATTGTGGAGACTGTGGAACTTCCTACATGATTCTCCTGCTCTCAGTTCAGTCCTGAATGTTTGATCTTTATATATTAAAATAAAAAGTTCTGTGTTGAGGCATATTTCATCTGTTGAATAAATCTCAGATTGAAAACTGACATGAAATTATGTGCATAAGGTCTCTCTCACTTTTACTTAAAGTTATAATATGTAACTTTTGCACATTAAAATGTCTAAAAATGACTAGACAAATGTTTCCACTAATTCTCAAGCCTAGAGAAATATGTCATTTTAATCATGGTAACACTCCGTGTCCTTTGGTTGACTGTCAATTACATCATACCCTCTATGCGCATGGGTCGTTGTGTTTGTCTGACAGAAGCTTAAAATGGACTTTCATCTAGTTTAAAGCCACATACACTTTTTACACCTTGGTGGTTTTCAGCTCTATATTTGAACCAGATGAAGTATTTTAGTCATCGGACGTCTGGATCTGAAGTTATCAGAGAAACAAGCTGAGGAAATGTTAGACAGCTCAGCTCCCAGCTGCTGGAGACGTCCTGTCCTGTGTCACTGAAGAGCGTCAGTGAATCTTTTCTTTTTAAGCAAAAATGCTTTATTCGTTTACTGGTTCTCATCCCCTGGTGTGTTTGTTGTGGAGAGGAGGACACCTCTGTGGATAATTCAGCTGCTGGTAAAAACCTGCTGAACGTCTGCTTCATAAGTTATCAGAGAAACAGTCAGAACAAAGGTTAGCATCAATCTCAGCTCCAGCTCTTCCCTGAGTCTCTGTCCTCCGTACAGCGTCGCTCAAACACTGACTTTAAATGTCAAACTGCTTCATTCAGTGTTTTTAACAGTTAGAATCTGTTTGATTTCCTGAACCACTGACACTGAAGGAATCCAAACCAGGAGAAGCTTACAGCAATGGTGGTGAAGACAACAACTCCCATGATCCCATGTTCTTTCATGATGTCACCGAACACCGTCTTTTCTTATTGTTTTGATTGAGAGACGCCTAGAGGCAGAAGTGACATACTGTGCGTTTAATGTTTATATAAGTAAGTTGCTCTTTTGCAGGGGAGTTGATCTAGTAGTGGTATTCATCTTCTCTTTGTGTTGCAGCTGGCAGTGTTGGGGGCCTGTCGGTGTTTTGGAGTTGCAGAAGCATGTCCATGCAGTCGAACTGCTGCTGCCAGCAGGAAGCAGCTCGTACAGCTGCAGCAGGAGGTAAACCACATCCAACCACTTCACCTGTGCTGAGCTCAGAACATCACTGATGTTCCTCTCTTCTTTATCTCAGGTGTAATAAAAACTGTTTACAGCAAGGTTTCAACCTTACAAGGTTTCAAACCAATGTCCTGACAACAGGAGCTGAGAAAAGTGTTTCTAACATCTTTAGCTAACGTTAGCTCATCTCACTGTCACTGTCAATCGGTCGAGTTCGTATGAACAGCAGCTTTATGGATCACCCTCACTTTACTGCAACAGAAGAGAAAACAGTGGATGTGAGTGACTGTAGAGGAAACTCTGCATAACAGCTCAGATGTTTGTTGAGTCTTTTTGGTGACCTCTGACCTTTCTGGCCAGCATGTCTTCACTACACGACCCCATTTTACCCATGACATAATTTCATAAGGCCCACATATTTGTAATTTTAAACACTTTTGAAAATAAATTGATATTTAATGTCTCTGTTTCTAAACCCAGAAGAAAGATTTACCTGGAGCACAGTTACCTTCTAGTTTTTTCAAGTGCCTCTCATTCCTCTGGATCATCTTTGAGATGATTCTGCCGTGTAATGTAAATCTGTGTGTGTTTGTTTTCCAGCTTGATGCTCAGCGGTCGAGGAGAGAGGAGGCAATGATGGTCGCGGACGCTTTTCGTATCGCCTTTGAGCAGCAGCTGAGGAAACGAAGTGAACACTTCCTGCTGCTGGCTGAGGCCAACATCCTGAAATCACATCACTACAAGGCTGAAGGTGAGTCTGTTACATCACATCAAACTGGACAGTTCAGTCATCCCTCGAGCAGTAACCAGCCCTGAATTTGAGGTGTAGTTCTCACATGGTACCAGTGGTGCGTGGTGACCTCAACAGATAAGCAAGCAGAGAAGAAGAAGAAGAAGACCCTCTGATCTGACAGTGAACATATCACATGTGAAGCATAGAGGAAATCACTTCTATGGTTGTTCAGAATATTTATTCAGTATCTTTGTAATTGATGTCTGTTTTTTGCTTTAACTAACCTGCTGAGTTCCTGATGACAATATGACACCTGGAACTAAAGTTGTTAAAATGAAATGGGATTTATAAATTCATTCAGGTGTACTTTCCCCGCATGTGGAAGGATGACAGAAACATGTCTCTAAAATAAACACAGGGAATGATGGTCTCTGTCTCTGAAGCTGAAGTGAGTAATCCTTGATTTGAGTTCCACCATGATTCCCAAAGGCTTGGAGAAACATCTGTCTTTTCCTTCCAGGTGCTAACAGGAGTCCTTTAATCAGTGTCAGCCAGAGACTGAGAGGATTGCTGCCTTCCGGTCTGGACTTGAAGATGCCTGATGATCTTCTGGAGACTCTCTACAGACTGCTGGACTTGGTCAGTAACTCCTCTGACATCTGTAGACCTGTTGTCTAGAGATCTGGGGGTGTATTACAGAAACTTCCTGAAGGTTTTTTTTTTTTCCCAGTTTGGTATCACAGAAGCAAATCCTGACTCACTTCAGGAACTCTGTCTCATCTCAGGTTAGGAAATCCTAAAAACTCAAACCAACATTGCTCATCAACTTTTATGTCTGTTACCTAGCAACCAATGCTACTTTTCTCATCTCATGAAGCACATCCGTCAGTTGCACCGCAGCTGGTAGAGCCTCATCTCACCACAGCTGGTCGTAGCTGCTCGGCTACCTGCAGGATCATGTCTGTATCTACCAATGGGTCGCGAGTCTCTCAGTGGATCAAAGCTCGGCCTGCTGACTGTGTAAAAGCAATAACAGAGCAGTGATATGGACGAAACAAGTGGGCTAAGAGGTGGAAAAGTGAAAGCCATCCTAAAGTTAACTAGTTTACTTAACTAGTTCCTAACATGTTGTCTGACCACATCTAAAGGCAGGAGCTAAATGGCTACACATGGAGACAGGTCTTCCTCTGCTTCTGCTTCTGCTTCCTCCTGTTAGAGAGAGTGTTTCAATGTGTCCTGCTGCCTCCTGGTTTTCAAGGTCACAACAATTAGTTGTACAAATGGGAATAATGGAGAACATTTTCAGACATGAATGAGGATGATCTTGGTTATAGGAGTTATAGGAGTAATTGTGTGAAGTATGAACACAGAGAGGCTGAGGGGCGACCTGATGGCCCAATCGTTAGGGCGCATTCCACATGGGCTCAAATGCCCTGAGCAGCGAGTCCCAGGTTTGACTCCAGAACCGACCAGACCATTTGCTGCAGGTCATTCCTCTACTCTCTACCTGGATTTCCTGTGGTCAAAAAAATGGTTGTTGTGATTGTAGTTTAACCAATCAGCCAAGTTGCAGGAAACATGGTCACAGTCTCTCCTTCCTGGGTTATAGCACTGAATAATGGCCACAAGTGTTTTTGCAGAACATTATGATGTCACACTGAAGTTGACCTTTGACCTTCTGGGTATAAAATGTTATCACTTAATTTTATCCTTATAGATATTTGAGTTAGATTGTGTCATAATTAGTGAATGAATGTGTGAGTTATGGCCATAAAAAAAGGGTCACAGTGTGACAGAAGTAAAGAAATACCCTCTGGGTGTTCCCGATATATGGCATTCACAAGAGCGTGAGATCACAATGACCTTGACCTTTGACCTTTGAACACCAAAGTCTCATCAGTCCTCAGGAATGGGATGGACGTACGTACGTAAAACAACATGCCCCCGGCTCTGGCTGTCGCCGGCGTGGAGGCATAAAAACAGAGAGGCAGAGAGATAAGGCCAAACCCTGCTTACCTTCACACCGTACACCTGGCCAATAACTGGGTCTGTTTCAGAAATGTAAAATAATTGTCAGATGCTGTTAAACAACCCGAGAAGCACTTTATTTGAAGCACACTCACACATGCTCGGTCGTGGTTGTCAGTAGTGGTAGGAAATCTCATGCATCTGATTCATTCATGTGTTGATGATCTGAAACGTTTCTCACTGTCTGGCATAAACTGACAGTTGACTGGTGTTTGTTTGTGGACTTGATGAAGCTAATGCTCTGACATGGTGTTTCCTGCTGCAGCTGAATGATAAGGAGGAGGCCCTGGCCCACCAGAGGAAGGTGAGCATCATGCTGGCTCACAGTGCTGAGGAGCTGCAGAGACAGCTGCACCTAGACTCACCCTGCCAGCCGTCGGATCCACCAGAGTCCAGCATCCCATCAAAGCAACAAGACCCATCAAAGAGTCAGAGCCAGTCTCAGCAATCAGCTAAAAAATCAGAGTCCGACGTCCAAGCAGAGCAACAACCGGAGCTGTCGGTCTCCCAGCTCCAGCTAGAAGAACCACCATGTCTGTCTGAGTCCAGGACTGAACCACAGGAGCTGCCAGACCCATCACAGACCAGAGTCCAGCTCCTGTCTAACCACAAGAGCCGTGAGTCTGAAATCCAACAGTCAGACCAATCAGAGTCCTGATCCACCAGACTCCAGACCTCAGCCACAGCAGCCAGGGTTTGACCGTGAGAGAAAGAAGCAAGACCTGGATGTAGCATGTGTCATGTCACACTGAGGCTGAATGTGGAGGGATGTGATTGGGCCTGACCGCTCACTGCTGTCCCAGCACCCAGATGTGGTCCTGAGAGAGGAAGAGTAGGGACAGGCTGAGACCTTCAGCCCACAAACGTCTCCACTACGTCTCACAAACAGTTTTTTACTGCGATATTCAGATCAGGAAAAACACACGAAGCAGCTGAAGATACTGTCCATCCATCAGTTTCCAAACCTGAGGGGAAGTTTCTGGACTAGCTGATACTGATGTAAAATAAATCATGGTTCAGTTTGAAAGTCAACAGTGAATACCAGTGACAGTTTACCCAGTCATGTGACCACAGCAGGAGCAGGAAGAGTTCCTGTCAATGTCTGAGTGACTTGATAACTTCATGTACAGTATGTGTTTATTAGGAAACAGAGAGGTGGTGTGACGTTGGAAGAATGTTCTGGGGAAGACGAGCAGATGGATGAGTTTATAAAATGTTTTACGTGATTGATTTTTGTTCTTAACCACAGCTACCTCCAGCCGTGTCAATCACACACTCAGTTCATCAGCTCTGATGTTCCCTCTACTGAACTGTGCACGTCACAGAATCACCATTACAATGTAAATTAGACACTGTTTGATTATTAATGAATATTTTATTTAGCAGGTGATAAATTCATATGTAACTTGTGCTTAAACAAACAAACAGGACACAGTGGTGAACAGGCTGTGGCTTGTTTTTTGTCTATTACAGTTTTTTTTTTACAGTTGCTAAAACACATTTCTTGAAACTGTCAATGCGTTACTCTAAACTGTAAAAACTACATTCACCAAACTTCTTCTTATAAAATCAAACAATCACCTCATCATACACAAAGACAATCAAAATACAAACACTACGATCATTCCTCACACACTACAGAGAAAAATGTGTTCAGAGCATGTAGCTCCAGAAATGTTTATTGTTTGTAATAGAGTAAAGGCATTTTATGTTTTCTAAAAAAAATATTCACGACTCAGTAACAGTTACAGTATTACCGCCTGTAAGTTCTGTAAGTAATGACGTATTGACTGTCTGGATTCAGAACTTACAAACAGCAAAACTTCAGTAGCAAAAGGCAAAAAACCACAGGCTGATCCAACTCCTGATGTGACTCAGTAGTGTGTGTGGCCCCCGTGTGCCTGTTTGCACTCCCGACAACATCTGGACATGCTCCTGATGAGTCGGCGGATGGTGTCCTGGGGGATCTCCTCCCAGACCTGGATCAGGGCATCAGTGAGCTCCTGTGACAGTCTGTGGCGGTACTTGGCGGCGTAGGATGCTCCGATACATAACGTCCCATAGGTGCTCACGTGAGGGCCAGTCAATGGCATCAATGCCTTCGTCATCTAGGAACTGCCTACACACTCTGGCCACATGAGGCCGGGCGTGGTCCTGCAGCAGGAGGAACCCAGGGCCACTGCACCAGTGTAAGGTGCTAACCTGCTCTCACCTTTGAAGAGAACTGGGTGACAATGGTGGACCTGCCAATTCTGGTGTTGTCTGGTGAATGCCAATCGAGCTGCACAGCGCTGGGCTGTGAGCACAGGTCCCACTAGAGAATGTCGGGCCCTCATGCCACCCTCTGTTTGGAGTCTGTTTCTGACAGTCAGAAACATGCACACCAGTAGCCTGCTGGAGATCATGTGCTCCTCCTGTTCCTCCTCTAGACTACCTGGACTACCTGTGCAACCTGATTGGGCTGCAGGTACCGCCTCATGCTACCAGTAGTGACAAGGACACTAGCAAAACACAGAACTAGAGAAGAATCAGTCAGGACAGATCAGGAGAGAGCAACTGGGGGGGTTGTCTTGCTTTTGCCTCTCCATTGCACCTGTTGTCACTTTCATTTGCACCAAAGCAGGTGAAACTGATTCACAATCACTTGTGCTTCCTAAATGGACAGATTAATATCCCTGAAATTTCACTGACTTGATGTTATATTGTGATGATTAAATCTTCCCTTCATTTTTTTGAGCATAAACTGGAAGCAGGTGTTTTCACTGGACTGGCAGATCTTGTTACTTGTAGATGAGGATCATGAGATAATTATTTTATAGTCTTCAGCCACCAACAATATCTCTTTTATGTGTTTGTTTGCTTTTTCTTATTTGGGCGAACTCTACCTTAATTTAACCACAGAATGGTGTGTTCCTCTAGATGACAGTGAGGTTCTGTGATAGCATGTTGTACAGGAAGTGACCAACAGAGAGCAGTGTTTGTCTGCACAAACCAGAGTGGCTGCTGTCAGTGCACATACAGTGAAAACCATCACAGTGCATCATCTGATCCATCTGTGTAGCTTTGTGTTACTCAGCATCGATAGAATAACAGAACAAACATCCAAAGGATCCAGGATCCAGATTCTGACAGGATCCAGACTCTGACAGGATCCAGATTCTGACAGGATCCAGATTCTGACAGGATCCAGTCTCTGACAGGATCCAGTCTCTGACAGGATCTAGACTCTGACAGGATCCAGATTCTGACAGGATCCAGACTCTGACAGGATACAGTGTTTTCATGAATTACTTTTAATACTCATAATGATTTATATTTTTCATTTTTTGGCTGGTCCAGTGCTTCGTCCCCAACTGTCCATGACTAAGTGACTGAGTGATAGAGTTGAGTTTGTGATGAAGTTACACCATTGGTCGGCAGAGTGTTGCACTTCTCTTTTGGCTGTTGCTGCAGCGGTTTGTTACGCAGACAGAGGCTGTCTCTCTGTGAGAGAGACACAATAAGAAAGAAAGAAAGTTGGTTTCTTCTAACTGTCTCTCTGAGCGATCATGTTACAGTAAACACAGCTGAAATCACAGCTCAGTCTTTGTCTTTCATTTATGTGTTTGGTGATTTTTGTCAGACGACGTCTCAGTTATAAAATCAGGATTTGTCCAGACATAGACTAGATTTAGATCTGGTCTTGTTCATACAACTACTCTTCACTTTGAGCAACATCTAAAAAAACGACATCAAAGCTTACAGGTTTTGAAGAGACCACTGTCCACAGTGACACACCCCAACAACATAAAATCTTCACCTTTTTTCCTTTTGGCAACAATAAAACTGAATCACAGCTTCGAACATATAAACCAACTACGCCACTGTCACATGACTTCAACATCAACACTGCTAAATTTCAACTTGTAGTTTGATTTACTTACAAAGCTAGTAACAGTTTGTAAGAGCGTGAGTATAATCTTAACGAGGCTGTGCAGGTGGACTGGTGAGTAGATGAGTGTTCATGCTCTCTGTGATGATGTTTAACGTCCCCGACAACTTCTGCAGTCTCATTCAGACACTTGTTAACAACCGGCCTTTTTTAAGAGATGCAAAAGCTGAAAGGAATCAGGGCCGGGGTATTTACTGATGTATTTTATGTCATAGAATAAAACGTGAAAATGCCTTGAGTTTGTGTTTGACCACAGACCCTATTTCAGTCATCTAACCAAAGAGGTGTTCAAACTAGGATTACCGTCTCATTGTCTGCCTCCGCCATTCAGACTAGTTTCAGGTTACATCCCTGTTTGTCCAGAGTCATATAGAATATGAACCATTTTTATGGCACTTGGTCTGTGTGAAGTCTTGAGTTATGGCTAAAAGTGTTTAGTGAGGTCACACTGACCTGACTTTTGTCCAATGCCAAAATCTACTCAGTTCATCCTTGAATCCAAGTGAATGTTTGTCCCAAATCTGAAGCAGTTCCGTTAAGGTGTTAGTGGCTTAATTCTTGATTCCCCCTCCGCACAAATGGACTGTTCCAAATACCGATTCACAGTATAGGACGAGCAAGAGCCCACATGAACACAACATAGACATACATACATCCTAACGTAGCCCCTCCATCATAAAGGGGTGGGTATATTGACACCAACCAATAGCATGGAAGCAATGGTGGTCCAAGCAGCTTAAGATGCTCCAAACTGCTGTGTTAACACGGCATTTTCTGTACACATTATGTATGTATCAACGCAGACATCAAAATAGACATTTTGAACCACACACACACACACACACACACACACACACACACACAAAACCAACAAATGGTCAAATCCTTCTAGTGCTGCTGTGAACGCTCTTCCCTCTGAAGTCAATAAGACAAATGCGGATCATCACAGGTCACCAGTCACACCAGCAGTGACTGGATTCCTTTAATCAGCTGCACAGTTCCTTAACTGATACACAGGGAGTGAAGTGCAGGACCGTGTCCACTGGATCATTTTCACTGGCCACATCTGCCCCATTAGCTTTAGATAATGGCAAAGCTTTTCACACTTGGAATGGTGCACGAGCCACCGGATCCATTTGCATCTTTAGGCCTTGAAGCGCTCAGCATCACTGATTGCAGGCATTTTGGGAATTGGACTGACAGCGAGGGGATACACAGAATGAGCAGTGAACAGCAACAGCAGCTCAGGCCAATGACCAAACACATTCATAAATGTCAATTTGCTGTATGCTCAGTGTTAGTAATATCAGTGTGTGGCAGCATTTAGTGAGTGGAAATGACTGATGTGGAACTGCTGGGGAAAGGAACTGTCAGGAGGCTATTATGTGATTATTTTTAGTGGAAACTTATGATTGTCTTTGGAGGGAAAATATATCACCAGCTGTGTTTCATTGGAAATAGTGCGCAAATACTTTCCTCATTCCTTCCATTTAACCTCTTTTTCTTTTTCAGATTTCCTTTTTTCAAAAGCTTTAAATCACCAAAAAAACATATTCCTACACTGACAGCTCCACAATGTTCAAACCCAAATCTCTGTGTTCTGTCTGTCTGACTCGACCATTAAATCAACAAGAGCAATGTGACAGAAAACTAAAAATAACTTAGAGTTTCTGATGTTTCAGACTGAGCCCACTGGCAGCAGGGCCTGGTCCCTCTCATCATCACTGTCTTGTGTGTTGTATCTTCAGTACTTTAATCAAATATTTCTATAATTTTTTTTCAGGTTTTTGATTATTTAATTGAGAGCATCCTAACTCACTGCATCTAGGTCTGCTACAGGAACTGTACACAGTTTCTGCAGAGAATACTGAGAACGCAGACACACATACGTAAACGTTGCTTTGGCCGCTGGATTGAACGCCAACATCGCCGCCATATTAGACCGGGCTAGACTGCCATGTTAACAAGCACAAGTAAACGGAGGAGCTGCAGTTTTTCTGGATAAAAAGCACAATGACGTTTATATTTCTTGACTGTTTTTTGACAAAACTTTTATTTTTACTCTACATAGATAAATAAATGAATAGATATATAAAATATCATGTACATACAGTGCATTCAGAAAGTATTTTTTTATTTTTACAATTTTTTACATTGTTATTTTGTTCTCCCTCTGCAAGTTTCTCCATCTCCACACAGGATCTCTGGAGCTCAGAGTGACCATCAGGTTCTTGGTCTCCTCTCTTCTCCCCTGATGTCTCAGTTAGTCTGGGTCCAGCTCTAGAAGAGTCCTGGTTGTTCCAGACTTCTTCATGTCAGAATGATGCAGCAGCAGTTCCTTCCTCCTCATGGTTTCTGCTCTGATCTGCATTGTCAGCTGTGAGATCTTATATAGACAGGTGTGTCTTTATCATGTCCAATCAGCTGAGTTTACCACAGCTGGACTCCAATCAAGGTGTAGAAACATCTCAGAGA